TATGGTAAACAGAGTGGATGTCAGTAGGTATATACCTACTTTTTCACACGTTTTTGGTAGGTAGCTAATACCTAACAAATTCCACTGGATCATACTGACCTTACCAATACATCCATATTTAGCATTGCATTCACTTTGGAATTTTCATATAGTTCAAACAATGTTTGAACCCATCAACAGTAGATGCATGTAGATTATGTTCAGATTGACATTATAAATATAAGACTGGTATGTGTATAAATGATAATGTCCTGTTGGATTCTATATGATTGGATCAACTGATTTTTAACCAAAAGATCAAACCTCAGAATGAACAAATTGGCAAATTATTTTTTACATTTCAAATTATGTAGAGAATAATAATTGATCCTGGCATAATAGGTATGGAGACATTTTGTGCATAATTGAAGGTTTCCTTGGTGTATAGAATAGATATTATGCACTATTTTCATTAACCTACCACAAATACCTGGTATTCCAATATTTCATTAACATTTTTGGGTATTATACAATTTTCTGCTTTGCTGCTCAATCCTACTTCAATAAGAAATATCATTATTGCTATCGACTTGGTTACTATCATTGTTGCTCAACAGTAGGGAATTAATTACTAATAGTATTTCATATTCATTTTGAAATCTGAACATGAATATGTAAATAAACTAACATTCAGCACTTTTCAGCCCTTGACTTCAGCACCTTGGAACATAAATTCTGATCTACCCTTGAGTAGTGCCTGTTCAGGCAAATATAAATATATTTGGTACCACCATTCGATCTCTAGCTTTCTGATTTCAATGAACTGGTATCAAGAACATTGCAGAATAAAATATGAAATAATGATAGTAAAATCATGTTATAATGTTCTGAAAGAGCATATTTACAAGACACAGGCAACTATCTAACAATGAAGCTTGAAAATAGTACTTACAGTCTGGCTTGAAAATTAATTAAAAAAATATAATACCCACTTACTGAGAGAATTAATACCTACTTAAAGTTTCTGTACAATTTTATGAAGTCTTGTATTTTCATTTGAACATTTACTGATTCATCTCTTTTTTTAACAAGGCTCTATGATGTTGCAGTATTAGGACTTAGTGAGGAAACATATTATATGATTTTCCTCAAATGAAATGCTAAAAGTACTTCTGAAAATGAGGAAATTTGAAATTACAGAGTTTTTCAATAATCTGGGAATCATTATTTTGAATCAAAATTCCACTATAATTTTTAATGACATAATATAAAGATATGCATAAAATGAATGAATTATTTTCTGTTTTTCAGATCAGTCCAGTGATAAATGGTTTTTCTCTTTAGATATTCATGGAAGTATTGTAATGAATGCTGCTGTGAAATTATTAGCATTTCTGGCCATGTTGCTCATTCAGTAGACCATGGCTATACAAGTGAAGTTGAAGAGAACCTCTACTATCTACATATCCTTGTTTCTGTAATCTTCAGCCATGTCTTCAAATATGTGATGATGAACATGAATTTGCCCTTATCTGTAAGCTAATTTCAAATACTGATAACTGAATGAATCAAGAAAAATGTTTGAATTGAATTCTGAGAACAACTAATTTATCTTCTTCAAGATATATTTTGGTTTTGAATCAGTTTACATAGAGTTCAGAAATTTTAGATTGATATTGTTTAATTTTCATGATCCCTTGATAGGAAACCTACTTTCAAAAAGAAAAAAACCTGCATGTGTACAAACAAATATTCATATATTCCAGGAAATCTAACTGAGACAATTTTGAAGAAGATACAAATCAAAACAATATAAATCTTTCATGGGGCTTAACTTATGAAACATGGAGTGAGCACCAATTATTTGCAGAAAAATATGTGGATTTGGTGAAATATTCTTTGGTAAAATGTTGCTGTGCAAAAAGCTAGGATGTTGAAATTCATATTTGATTAGGTTCATAAATTGAGACCATATTTCACATAATAGTTGGTGAATATAATGAGATGTCATTCAACATTTTACAATTTGCCATAAACTCCATATGACAAATACCTGATCAAAAAACGGTCATAAATTGTTTTCATGAAACTTTGTAGTAATTTCAACTAATAGACATAGGTACCTAATTTAATAATTCTCATGTAGAATTCACATACTTTTCTGACCCTTATGATTACAATAATTTGTGATAAAACAGTACACTTCATTTTCGAAATGTGTTTTAGAATGGCTACAAATTGAATGCATTTGGTTGCTAAAGAAGGATAATGAACACAACTGAAAGAAAATATTTAGTTCAGAAGCAAATATTCTATCTGGTTTATTTTTAATGAAATTCACTGAAGCTTTATAGAAAAGTTATCTAACATTCAATATACAATTTATATGAAATAGTGGGGCTGAGGGATAATTGAATGGTTTATAAAATATCATTTTCAAAACGTATTTTTGAATACTTAGCAATGGTTTCATATAGGTTTCATAAATACCACCCCATCCAATTATTCCATACGATAATATATTTTGGAAGAGAGTATGATAAAGCAAGATAATTAGTTTTCTACTGACAATATTTTGTAAAAGTCTAAATTTTGGAAGTGTACTTCTGAGTTTTTTTATTAGTTCTGAAACATGATAATTCCACTTCAAATTTTGATCAATATATATACCAAGATATTTGATTGAATTCACTTTATGTATTTTGAGGCTACATGAACAATTTTGTTGCACTTTTGAAATATTTTTATGACATTTTTGATCATGGATGGTCAATTCTTGTATAAAATTTGGTTGTGTGTCATTATAGCAGGAAAATGTCATAAATTTTGTTTTATTTAGATTCAGAGTTAATAGGTCAATAGATGATTAAAATATTTTTAGGCTTGAATAGAAAATGTGGTATACATGCATTGAATTATTTGATTTTGTAGTGGCTCCAAATCTAAAATAATTGTATATTCCCAAATATTATCAAATATTGTTTCCATCAAAACATTGATAGATTGATATCAAACAGTCAAAAAGCCTGTGTTGGGCTATATTTTCTTCTTCAAATGATCTACCTAAATGTTTTCACAATGAATAATATTCATCAATTCAAACTATTTTAATGACCTAAACAGTTTTCAACATCTGAATATTCAGTGGGTTTGTTTTTGAAAAATTATGTTTTATTTGATTCATTCAAATACTTTTTTGAATTTATACAATGAATGGATATATTTCATAACAAGTAAGTTGATATTTCTTCAAAATCACTCTAAATATATTCACTAATTGATATTATTATAGAGTTGATGTTCAAATAAACTGTAAGGTTCATTGGATTATGAGGCATTCTGGTTCATCAGGACTATATAGTTGTTTCTTAATATCCTGGTCCTTCCTTCTCCTTCCTTCTTTGTCTATTCTTGATAAGTAATTATAATTATTGCAAAACATATACATATTTTTTTCTAATTTATAGCCAAAATTACATATTCTGAAAGAATAATTCAAATTTCATGAATCAAACAGAAGAAAATAATGCAGCAGTGTGAGTTTATGCAATTATAGTTATCCATGAAGGAATATGAACAAAAAAGAAAGATATAGTCCAAATGGGAAAATTTTATGACGGGTGTTTTGTTTCTTCTTTGGTGGGAACAGGATTGGTATGGACATCAGAAATTGGTTCAGCTGGAAGATTAGGTACTGGAATCTAGAAAAACGTGAAAAAAAATTGTTGAATCTTCATTGACCAAATCAAGTTATTTTTTAATCAACACTAGTTCGACTAGAATTCATGAAAATATGTTGAAGCACATGGTGAGCCTTGAAAAAATATTTGATGTAAACTGGGCGTCAATTGAAACGTTAATAGTGAAATTTGGCATCAAGTTTGACTTTTCGTAATTTCTAAAATATTGAACGAATTTTGAATTGTCGCCCAGATTCTGAATGCCTTTTTCATCGTCTTTCGAATCGTTCCTTACAGTTTCTTCTAAATTGATCAGGACCCGTGATACAGGGTGAAACAAAGTTTCGTGCATTTTGAAAAAAATTTCTCCGCCCCCCCATTTTGTCGGAAGACCACGATGCTCATATTTTATTCAGGCATTTCATAAATAGCAACCATACCTCGGGACGTTTTCGAGTTTTTGCCAAAAACTACTGTGGTTTCAGAAAAAAAAAATGTTTTTGCATTTTTTTTAAATGGACTAATTTTAGAGGAGTTCCATAAATGGATGCTTTATGCATTTCAGGAAAGCGTTGGAGCAGATATGTATACCAGGTTACTCAAAAACAATCGACCGTGGGCCCACGACACCACAAGTGTCGATAGCAAATGTTCGTATGCCGTTTTAGGGATATACTCAGACAGCCCGGGCAACCAGGAAAACGTGTCTCCGAGCGTCTATGACCAGTCCTTGCACCTGCTACGCCCTCTAGTTTCGGTTGAAAAAAGAGTTAAGTATTCGATGAACGAGGAGGCTCGGGCATGTGGATACATTATCGTATCTTGTAAAAATATCCGGGCGCTAGCCGGGTTGCATACGTCTAGGTCGCTACCGGAAGAAGGCATACGAACCGGAAGTGGCAATTTTCCAGTGGCGATGGGCGATAATCGAGGAAAGTATGCCCTTTGGTGGAACGACTTCTTTCGACCCATTAACCACTATTCCGACGTTTGCATACGATTTCAGAGAGGGCATCTCGATTTATGGCCATATCAACTTTCCGGTCTAACCTACAAATAGTCGATAATTTATTGTCGTATGCCACTCTCGTCGCCGATAGACTACGACATTTTAATGAACAAAAGCTGGTTTGCATACGCCCAGGTCACTACCAGAAAGAGGCATACGAGGCGGAAGTGCTAATTTTGCACTAAGATTTTTCGGGCATAAGTTTTGATTATGTGGCTGTTTTTTATATAAAAAAGGTAAACATTATATTTTCATTAAATGAAAATTACATTCAATATATGAGAACGAAATTATATTTGTTCACGATCATCTGTAATTTTTTCGTGGAACTGTTATTCTGCATCTTCATCGGTATCATCTGTGTCTGTGCCATCATAATCTCCTTCATCCTCGCTTTCGGTGTCTGAACTTTCAGGCGATTCCGTACAGTCTCCATCATTTTCCAAATTCTCAGAAAGTTCTTCTATCCTCAGCTGCAGCGGTTTTCGTAGGCCTGTTACAGAAGACAATTTTTTTTATTTTTCTTACGTGATTTTTCGATTTGCCCCCCACCAAACGTCCCAATAGAAGTTTCACTTCAAAAATATACCTGATACTTCCTCAGCTGCATTCTCGTGGATAATAATGTCATTCACTTCTGCGGGAAGGCTGGCCCCCAGGTACCAATGGAAATCGTGGTCTTCATTTTCCAAAATCCAGCCCCACTCACATGGCTCAAGATCTGTCGGCACTCTGAGATGAGCACCGCTCCACAGCTGGGAAATGAAAACAGTCCGCCTGAAGTGCTGTACTAGTTCAGCTTCACAAGGCGGCAGTCGTGAGGGGTCGTACTTAAATAAAGTTTTCAGCAACTTCTCGGAGTTTTTCTTTGGTGTATACGTTGCCGAGAACACGGCCAGTCTGGCCCGGTTTACCTCAGTCTCTTTCTTCAGCCCATACATGAGGCATACAAACTTTTGTATAGATTGGAAGGTATTCCTGTACTCCTGCTGAGATCTATAAAAAATGAACAATTTAAAAGGTCGACCCTGGCGCAGATTATGGTTTATCATTTACACAGTGGGACAGAACGGGTAAAAACTGAACAAAACCCTTGCTTTGAGATATTCTAAGGCCAATTTTCACCGCAGTGGCTCATTGAAAAGCCCATTGAATTTGTGATAAGAAAATCGCTACGAGGAGGGCGCAAGTCACATCCATATATTAGGAAAATTTATCAAAATTTCTTTCTTGGCGATACATATATGAATAACGAAATTCCATGGGAAACATATATATATGGACCTATATTGACTTGAGCACCGTAAATATATACATTTTTATTCGTCCAAAACCATTTGGAATGATAGATATATATGATCACGCATTCACTTATAAGTCAGTTTTCATGCCATTGACCAGAAATACGCTCGGATCATTTGGAGAAAATGTATATGGGGGAACACGCGTTGAAAAATATTCCGAAAATCCTGATAAAAATCGAATAAAAATCATGATAATGACCCAAAGTCCAGTTTTGAAGCTAATATCGTATGAATATATGGGGGTTTCCATGAAGTTTCAATTTTCATACTCGGTTTATAACATCTCGATTAATATCAATCTAATTTTCGACATTATATATGTGTGCCCAAAAAAAATAAATATAAAATAATGAATTGACGATATTTTCTGCCTGGAGCTAGTTAATGTTGTTCTGTAATATCTTACCTTATTATGTCTAAACTGGACATCATCTTACATGCCTTCTGAAATTCGTCAGACTTCTTGAGTAGATTGAAGGGTCTTTTCTTCCCTTTCTGGTGGAACGTTGGATTTTGATCACAACCAGTGAACGAATGAAATGCTGGAAGAGCCTGTGCGAGAGTATTTCCCAGCTTCTCATGCAATTTCGATACATTAATAAACTGGCGTTTTGTCGATACACCTATTTCGCAGATTTCTCCATTTTGTCCAATGTTTGAAAGTAAAACTATAAGCACGTCGGTATCCGAACACTTGATGACGATTCTTTTCTGGCTCTTGCAGGCGTGGTAAATCATCTTTGTGTCGGCCTCCTCGTACTTGTCACTTGACAACTCATGGCATTCACTTCTTATTACTTGCCCCGCAGAAGATCTGTATTCATAGCATTTCCTGTAGTTCACCTTTATAACCTTGTCTCCTATAATTTGTGATGCGTCCTTCAAATTTGCCGTAAAGGTCCCTTTCGGGAGACTGAGGTTTGCCTGGATGACACCAGCATAGACATCCAGGTTTCCACGTAGTTTGTGCTCGGTGGCTTTTATTGACGGTTTAGGGTAAGTGTCAAAAATGATGTCTATTTTGCGACTTTTCAACGAGCACAAGTTGTTCAGAATTTGCAGAGCTAAGAGCCCGAACGTAGGCTGAACATTTTTTACTAAATATAAAAAGAAAAACCCATCCACTATATACTGATCTATCACTGAAGGTGCGAAAGATCGATCTCAGCCTCCAGTGTTTTTGTTAAAACCGACTTATCAGTTTTATGTATTTGTCCGTTCATGTGACAAAAAACATTCGGGACTGGGGTTATCGGATACTTCATCACTATTTCTAAGTCGATTTTGTTGTTCAGAGAGATAGCGAGTAGCCTTCCGAACAAGTCCCGTTGGATGGTGACCTCCTCAACTTGCTTTCCAACTTTAAGTTTTTTTTTTGTTTTCAAGATGGCAAAATTGCTGACAGCTACTCTCTTAATCGCTCTATCAAAACGCTCATTTTTTTCATCGTCGATACATTCAGAAATGAAATTTTTTCGTAACTCGTCGCCTTTTTCTAAAACTCCCAGAAGTAAGTCAGCAATCTCAGCAGGAGCAGGTTGTCCAGTTGACAACTGATACAATTCATCCACTTTCAGGCGAGGGGAAAAGGGATTCAATCTGTCGGTGATTGCATCGACTAGTTTTATGAGATGAACATTGTCCTTTTTCAGTCTGCTGGGCATCAAATCTTTGCTCACATCTTGTTTCCTCTTTACACCAGTCACGTCATAAATGTGAGACAAAATAGCCGTTCGCATCCCGTGGCTTATACTCCAGCGCTGCCGAGCTGTCAGAGAATTTGTGAAGGGGCTTATGCCGGTGAGACTTCGTGCAGCATCCGCGTTGATCGTCTGCTCCAAGGTGAGATCAACGGGAATTTTGGAGAACGGTTTTTCAGTCCTTTTCATCCCGAAACTGCCGGCTAGAAAAGAATCTTTCAACCCTGGATGAGTCTCATCTACACTTAGCAGGTTCTCATTATACTGGACTAACCAGCGCGAATAATTTTGGTGGTTGAACGAAAAAAATAAATTGCATATTTTTGGAATTTCGTATAAGAACAAGTCATGATTGCCTGTTCTGATGGCTGTGTCGAATTCCAGATAATGCGAGACCAGTGTGCAATAAATAAGACGAAACTGACCAGTTTTGCCGTGTAGCCCTTCTAAAGTGTCTTGCCGAAACTTATCGTATTTTTCGAGTACCCCAATAATTATATCGTTCTCGACTTTTGGATTTTCCGATCTAGCATTCTGAAAGGTTTCCAAATATGAAACAATGTCCTCCTCATTACTTGTTAAAATATTGCTCACATCTTCGTTGCACTCTACGAAGTGCTGAAAATGGATTATCTCCAAAGCCAAAGCAATGAGGGGGTACAACCTTTCACCTCGATGGAAATGTTTCCCCGAAAGGAACGAGGACAAAGACCCATTCGCCAAGATACCGCTATCTACCAGTATCTGGTCAATGACGCTTCCATCAATAAACTTTCCCAGTCCTTTGAAGAATGACATGGTGATATGAAAGGATCCAAGGTGAATGAAGACATGTTCAGAGCTTTTACAGCCACAGCCAGGTCGTATGTCACTTGTGCATATTTCTCTTGGCACCCTTCGGCGACTTGTTGTGCCTGCTTTAGCGTCTCCAGAACAACGCTGTCGTCTGTGGGCGAGGCATTCAATGGAGTGAGATAGGACATTCTTTGCTGTTTGCAGGTGTCTTGGATCAGTTTAGAATTATAGCCAACCCACATGGGAGTGGGTATCTGCATAAAAAATGAGAACATCCAAAGGGTATACCTATCCTTCAAATCCCGGTAATAATTCGGCTCAATACTTCGAAGACGAGAGTCTAGCGGCTGGAATGTTCGCTGGATTCTGGGCCTCATATTTAAAGGCTCGAACGTTGTAGAGTCACTGAATAGTATTAGTTTGATAAGAGTTCGGACACAGCCGAACTTTTGTCCTTTTCTATTTTCTATAATACAATGGTTTAAGTGAATAAAAGAATAAGACACATATTCTGCTCTTTGTCTTTTCAATTTCCCTAGAAGCGCCTGATTGTCAAATACGATTTTAGAGGTTATATTTTCTGTCAAATCAATCATAGCCGTAGATGGACAATGGATATAGGGCACAAACACCCACTTCAATTTATAGTGATACACTTCTAGCAGAACAACTGTTATATAAATGAGAAGAATGCATGTACCAACCAATAAATCCTTATTGTATATCAAACTGTACTCCAGTGATAAGTATAAAACGTGAAGTTATTAATATTTAATTAAATGTAGGTATTCTCAATATACAGGAAGTAACATAAATACGTTCAAGTGAATGAGACAATTTTAAGAAATAAAGTCTATATAAGCTTGTGTCCGGAAATGTTTCATTTCGGAGATGTGGGTGTTGAAACACAGAGAACAAATAATTTTTCGATAAACATTTCCTTGTAAAAATGTAGTTTATTTTGACGAGACCTACCAAATACATTTTTCTGTAAAGTTCTCAGCAACTTCACTTAGCGCCTTAGAAGCTAAGCATCTAAGTAACATGGATCGATATACCAAATACATTTTTCTGAAAAGTTCTCAGCAACTTCACTTAGCGCCCTAGGAGCTAAGCATCTAAGTAACATGGATCGATACAGAAAATATCTCCAAAACGATAACCTCCAGCGTTTCCTTCATAAATAAGTATTAACTTTTCACTGTTTAATTTTGAATTTGATCTGCATCAAAAACGTCATTCAATAATATATCACATTGTAGTTTCCTTTCTTTTCTTAGTTTTGTTTTCAAATTTCCAATTTCATTATGTAATTTTACGGTCATTTCCTCTTTCCATGATAATTTTGTTCTGTATTTTGTGTGATGATAATAATGGAATTTTGAAATCGTCTGCTTTGTAAATTGATGGAATAGCAGTTTCTCTCATACAGATTTTGAAATCTTCTGTTCGAAACTGGACCTAAAATATAGTTTCATTCTGTGATCAGATGCTTCTATAAGAAGCTAATTTTAATGAGTACCTCACAAATTTCGCTCGTCTTGAAATTGATTTTCCACCCAGCCCGTTTCATATCTTCCTTCCATAAGCGAATGGTTGCCATTTGTTTTGGAAAATTGAATAAATTATATCCATTTTTATCAGATTTGGCACAATTCATTACACAGCAAGTGATTTCCATAGCTGCTTTTTTCTCGAAAGTATAATTATTACATTTTATTTCAAATCTGACATTCATAAAATTTACTGTCAAATTCAAACAATTATTTTGAATAAAAAGCTCGGGACGACTATGGTGCTCTTGTCACAATGCAAGGTGTGTAACTTAATGAATCCAAACATTCAAAAACCCTAACAGTTGTCATTTCTGTGTCCGAACTCTTATCAAACTAATACCAATACCATCCAGTGACTCTAGAACGTTGGACTCAGGGCTGTAAATGTGCGCCGTCGCCTGTCCGAGTTTCACACTTAAGGCGAATCGGTTTCTACCTCTTGACTCGGGAGCAAACCCTCCGGGTTCGTGAGTATATCTATGTCCTGAAAAATGATACCAACGGTATCATGGAGCGTATCTCGGCCCTCGATAGTCTCCACAAATTTATCGAAATTATTATACGCCAATCCAGTGTTCAAATTCGGGACTGTACTTATGTCATTCGGACATATTCTATTAGACTGAACACAGGTATACGTGATTTCCGTTTCAAAGCCTAATAAGGTTGTATAGGAGCAGCAGTGCCCCAGAGAATTGAGAATATCTACAACTATTTTGCTGCTTGTAAGGCTTTTCACCGCCATTCCGAGAGTGATGTGTTTGGAAGGCTTGACCCCTCCGTTAGTTACATCATCTATAACATCCTGTGCCAGAGATTCGGTTTTTCTTTTGAAACTGTCAGATTTCTTCCTCCTAGAGTTTCCACCGCTTAACAAATATTTGTAGAAGTTTGAAAGATTATCAGGTAACGAACATTCCCCCTCAATTAGAGCGTCCGCTGTCAAGGGATCTGGCAATTCCTTTTTCTCCATGTCCAGAATCTCTCTCCTTATCAAAAAGGCTGCTCTTGCAATAACATCCTGCCGGACGAGTTCATCAAAATTGAAATTTTCTAAATTTGCTGATTTCGGCAAAAGGACGAGGTTTTGTCCCCTATGGATAAATTTGACATGGTCCTTTAACTGTTTGTCGGCCAGAATCTTATCTTTCAATTTTTCGACTGAGAAAGCATTGGGAATATCTTTACAACATTTATCGCCTTCCTCTTCGAGGCACTGCAGATAAACGTCTTTTAAAAAAGAGTAGAAGAAACTTTTTCCTTTTTGTACAACATTATTCACGAGAAATTCCCGAAAAGTTCCATACGCATTTTCTCGTTCCAGGAGGAGAACGTTCCGCGCTGAATCGAGACCTTTTCGCTTTTGCGAATTTTCAAATTTTGATCTGTACATTTTGGCACAAATCGCATGATATCCTAAAAATTCATTCTGGTTGGTAATATTGGCAAGTTTTTCCAGTAATTCATAGTCTTCTTGTGCTGTCGCGTATTCCTTTATCTTTTCAAAAAAACAATATACTTTTGTGTACATAACAACTGGTATTTTTTGGCTTTATACCTCTTCTCTCGTAATGTGCAGAAAATAAAACGAACATTTGACGTATCTGCTGTCGGCGGCAACGCCGCTGTTTCATCTTTAACAGAATCCGGGTTTTCTGTGTTGCTGGAAACGCAAGAATAATAATTAATATCGACTATATATAGATATTTCAAAAAAATTTAACGTGATATTTCAGGGAAATGCATTTTGACCGTTTTTGACCACAAAAAATAGCCATTGAGCCTAAAGATGGACATTTAAAGCTGCGACCCATTTGGGACGTTTGATAAGGGGTACAAAACGGACAACTCCCCATCATTAAACATATTAAAAAAAAATAATTTTGGCCGTTTTTGGCCATTAAAAATACCAGTGGAGCCTAAGAATGGGCATTTTGAGCTTCAAGCTCATTGAGACTTTTGATCAGGGATACCAAGCGAACAATTCCCCGTCATTAAAAATGATATTTAAAAAAATTTGAACATGATATTTCAGGAAAATGAATTTTGACCGTTTTTGGCCACAAAAAATAGCCATTGAGCCTAAAGATGGACATTTAAAGCTGCGACCCATTTGGGACGTTTGATAAAGGGTACAAAACGGACAACTCCCCATCATTAAACATATTTAAAAAAAATAATTTTGGCCGTTTTTGGCCATTAAAAATACCAGTGGAGCCTAAGAATGGGCATTTTGAGCTTCAAGCTCATTGAGACTTTTGATCAGGGATACCAAGCGAACAATTCCCCGTCATTAAAAATGATATTTAAAAAAAATTGAACATGATATTTCAGGAAAATGAATTTTGACCGTTTTTGGACACAAAAAATAGCCATTGAGCCTAAAGATGGACATTTGAAGCTGCGACCCATTTGGGACGTTTGATAAGGGGTACAAAACGGACAACTCCTCATCATTAAACATATTAAAAAAAAATAATTTTGGCCGTTTTTGGCCATTAAAAATACCAGTGGAGCCTAAGAATGGGCATTTTGAGCTTCAAGCTCATTGAGACTTTTGATCAGGGATACCAAGCGAACAATTCCCCGTCATTAAAAATGATATTTAAAAAAAATTGAACATGATATTTCAGGAAAATGAATTTTGACCGTTTTTGGCCACAAAAAATAGCCATTGAGCCTAAAGATGGATATTTAAAGCTGCGACCCATTTGGGACGTTTGATAAGGGGTACAAAACGGACAACTCCCCATCATTAAACACATTAAAAAAAAATTTTTGGCCGTTTTTGGCCACTAAAAATAGCCGTGGAGCCTAAGAATGGGCATTTTGAGCTTCAAGCTCATTGAGAGTTTTGATCACGGGTACAAACCGAACATTTTCCTTAATTGCACTGGAAGACCGTTTTCCATATAAAATGTGTGGGGTCTATAGAATCCTGGAAATTTGAAAATAGTCTGAAATTTAAAATGGAACTTTAAATGTTTTTCAATTTTCCAGGAATTTTGGATGTTCACGAGAATTTTCGGAAGTTAACAGAACTTTTCAACATTCGATTTTGAAAGTTTGTGAAAATCAGGGAAATTTTGGGAATTTGGGGATTTTAGAGGCTCAAGACGAATTTGTAATGGCACAAGAAATCCCGAATTTCCATAGAATCTTGGAAATTCGAAAATGGTTTGAAATTTTGAATTTAAACTAGAGCTTTGGGTTGGCAAAAATCCCTGGAATTCTCTCTCGATCGCGGAATTCTTTAGACTCTTGGAACTTCGGATTTCCCGGACATTTTGTGCAGTTCTCAACTTCCTAGAGGAAGTTGGGGATTTGTCAGGCTAAACGTGGATTTTTGATCGAAACGAAAATCCCGTATTTCAATGGAATCGTGACAATTTGAAAGTGGTTTGGAATTTGGAATTTGAAATGGCGTTTTGAATTTTCCGGGAATTAGAGATGTTCATGAGAATTCTCCGCATGTTCTCAGAACTTGGCGAAAATTGACTTTCAATTTGTAAAAATTCCTGGAATTTTGTCAAAATCCATGAATTCCCTAGAATTTTGGAAGTCTGTGGAAATCCCAGGAGTGTTGTTAAGTTCACAATTTCCCAGAGGAAGTTGGGTATTTTGTAGGGCAAACACGGATTTTTGGTGGCACCAGGAATCCCAAATTCCAATAGAATCTTGGTAATTTGAAAATTATTTGAAATTTGAAATTTCAAATGGAACTTTGAATTCTCCGGGAATCGAGGATGTTTATAGGAACTTTCTGTATTTTCTCAGAACTTTTCAAAAATTGTTTTTTTTTTAATTTGCAGATATTGCTGAAAGTTTGTAAAAATCCCGGATTTTCTTAGATTCCTGGAAATTTTCTCAAATTTCCAATATTCTGAAGGAAGTATGGGATTTTACAGGCTAAGAATGGCACACGAGGTTGGGGCATTTTTAAAATTTTCCGGCAAAAGTCAGGGGATTTCGAAATGAAAATGTTATGGTAACCCTGCTCAAACCTTTGGACTGAAAATGCGGCGAAAAGAGATCCCCACACTTGATTTTTTGTTGTGGAAAAGGTTTTTCTATGAAAACTCCCGTACAGCGATCACATAAAAGAATTTTCAGGAAACCCCCATATACAGGGTGTCCCTAGACCAGTGGGACAGTTAAATATCTTCTGAACCAATAGGAATTTTCAAAATATTATAACTCCACATCATATCGCATCATGAGTGCTAACTTCAGGAATGACTATATTTTATACGAGGGGCGCAAGAAAGGCTCACAAAATCGAACATCAATTTTTTCAAATGGAACACCCTGTATTTTATTGCATTTTCATATTCTCCTTGAAGAGCTGAATTCAACGACCTAGCACACTTGGGGTCTAGCGGGAATGATTTCCGAGATATAGGGTGTGGAAAATCTAGATTTTCCATTTTTGGGAATTTTTTGTGTCAAAACTATTCATTATTGGTCAAAACGGCTTACATGTCCATATCTTAACTTTTGATTTACTATTTACTCGTATTTAATTTAAACAAATACAGGGTGGTGTAGAATTCTCAGTTTCAGTCGGAATTCCACACCACCCTGTATTTGTTTCAATTAAATACGATTAAATAGTAAATCAAAAGTTAAGATATGGACATATAAGTCGTTTTGACCAATTATGAATAGTTTTGACACAAAAAATTCATGGAAAATCTCGATTTTCCACACCCTATATCTCGGAAATCATTCCCGCTAGAGCCCAAGTGTGCTAGGTCATTGAATGCAGCTCTCCAAGGAGATTATGAAAATGCAATGAAATACAGGGTGTTCCATTTGAAAAAATTGATGTTCGATTTTGTGAGCCTTTCTTGCGCCCCTCGTAGAAAATATAGTCATTCCTGAAGTTAGCACTCATAATGCGATATGATGTGGAATTATAATACTTCGAAAATCCCTATTGGTACAGGAGATATTAAACTGTCCCACTGGTCTAGGGACACCCTGTATAGTAGAAAAATTGACTCAAGCCTTCGCATAGAGAGTTCGGTGCAACAAGATTCTTCGTCATTTCACTGTTCTAGTGAACAATTTTTTTTTTCGGAGTCACCCCATATAGCAATGAGATAACTAAAAATCTTCGGGTGTTCGAGAGAAAAGCATTGAAATTTTGAATCCTTATGATAAAAAACGTACCTGTTATCAGTTGATCCTTCTGGAACATTGACAGGATCTGGGCCCGTTTCAGGAGGACCTTCCTGAGGTACAATTCGATATTTTCCGTTCAGAGCATTAAAATTACTGTAACATTGAGAATGATAACCTATTTCTTCATTTACTGCAGTGGGGACGTGAGTGGTGCTGTAACGAAGTTGAAAGTGTATATGGCTTCTCAGAGACAATTGACACTTCTGGAGAGTCCGCTCGTTAAATTTTTTTACTGTTGTGTCCTTTTCCTCACACACGAAACACTTCAGTCCAACTTTCACTGGCGATTTTGACGATTTTGGAGATTCTGACATTTTTCTCCGGGTAGACATCTTGTAACGCACAACTTTTTTTCTGGCACATTCAAACTAGTAAACCCAACTGATTTCTCTCCTTGAGATGGCGTCGTTTCTAAATTTCACCACGTGTTGGAAACAATACTCGCCAGATGTAAGCCAGCCGGTATGAGAGATTAATAAAGGTAGGCAGATAAGATCTCTCTTTCTACCTGCTCGATCTAGGAATGAACTGTATACGCGAGAGGTATACTCTCACAGTTACACAAACTAACAAAGAATATTATAAGTTTTAAACTGACGAGAGCCTGCTTTCTGAATCGGTAAAAAACTCAAGGGTCAGGGGCGGGACAATCCCTTCAGTGCCCCGGTTTATATATCGTCTATAGATCCTCGAAAAAAATGTTCAAGTAACCCGGACTCGAATGAAATTATGTAAGCTGAGGTATTTCGACCCCCCGAATCTTCATTCAAGGTTGGATTGACCGCGCGAAAGAGGGGCGACATGTTTCAAAAGTTGTACATTGAAATTTCTACTTGATGATTTCTCATCTACAACATTATCAAATTTTCGGTGGACCCTGCAAACAAATAATAGCTCCAAGATTCCCTTGATCGAAGTGGTTTGTATTATTTTCTGGGCGGACATCCGCGCGCTCCAAGAGTGGGGGGTATTCCCCAAAGGTAGTCCCTGATTTTTTTGGAGCTTGACCGTTCGGGCCCGTCCAATGTTTCCCTGGTTGGGCTTTTGAGCCATATGGTAAATTTTCTTAAGTCAGGAAATTTTGTAAACAGAAATTTTTCCTTAAAAATACAAGTCATTTTGAGCCAAAAGTCGGGATAAGAAAATTTGTTTAACCCAATTCCCTGAAGTTGAAAGTTTGGCCAAAAAAAATGTTTTTGGATCTCC